TAAGGAGGTCATGAATGTGTTCTTATTAACAACTGAAGAGCTGTGGATGTCAGTAGCTTATGGTTGTAATCCTGCCTCCTCAGAAGGCTGGGATGTGAGGATTATGGTTGGAAGCCAGCCTGGGCAAACAGGCTGGAGACTTATCTCCAATGAGCCAGTAAAAAGCCAGACGAGCAGGCGTGGTTTGATTGAGTAGTAGTGCCCTACAGGAGTGAAAAAAGCTGGAAAGAGGATAAGGCCCTGAGATCAAGCCACAGCACTGACACAGAAAGAATTATTGTTGATTTGCTGAGTTTTATCAAGAAGGTGTGCTGAGATGTTGATAGATGTTTTCCTACCCCTATTGATATGATTATGTGATTTTTAACTTGTGGATTGATGGATTCTAATTAATCAATAATATAATGAATGATTATATTTTGAGATGGGGCCTTTTTGTGAAGCCAGCCAGGCCTTGAACATGGGATCCTCCTGCCACAACTTCCCAAGTACTGAGTCGTAGAGATGCACCACCATACCTAGCAGATTCTATTGAGTTTTGAGTGTTTAACTAACTTTGTCTAGTATAAATCCCAACTGGTCTATGTAGATAATTATTATTTTATTATTTTTTTTTGTCGGTCGTGGGTCCTGAACTCTGGGCCCGGGCGCTCTACCACTTGAGCCACAGCTCCACTTTGGGCTTTGTCTGCTTATGTGGTGCTGAGGAATTGAACCCAGGGCCTCATGCATGCAAGGCAAGCACTCTACCACTGAGCCACCTTCCCAGCCCCTGGATAATTATTTTTTGGTCAATTGTAGGGTTTGAACCTGAGTTCCAGGGCGCTGTCCCTGAGCTCTTTTGCTCAAGGCGAGCGCTTTATCTTATTGGAGATAAAAGTCTCATGGGGACTTTCCTGCCTGGGTTGGCTTTGAACCGCGACCCTCAGATCTCTGCCTCCCGAGTAGCTAGGATGACAGGCCTGAGCCACTGCGCGCGGCTTGAGGACTGTTGCATGTACATTTATAAGACATGCCGGTCTGTGGTCTTCCGTTCTCACGGTGTCTAGGCTTGTGGCATTCGGCTGGTGTTGGCCTTACTGAAGCCCCTCTGCTTGTGTCCCAGGATACAGTTGCAGAGCACTGCGCCACCCCCTCCTCCAGGAGGGCAGAGTTGGCAGAAGGCACCGTTGTGAAGGCCTGCTAGCACCCACTAACCTGGGCTGGGGTTTGTTTTTTTGTTTTGTTTGTTTTCAGAAGGCTTTTAACAGTTGAGTCAATTCCTTTGTGAGATACAGACCTATACATATTCTTTCTTTTCTCTCTTTCCAGGTGTAAATTAGGTTATCAAATTTGTGGGCACAGAATTACTCTTGGTACTCCTTAGATATCTTTGGGGTATCCCCGGGATCTGTAGTGATGTCTTTTCTTTTGTTTCTGGTTCTCATCATTTGGGTTCTTTGTTTTTTCTCCCAGTTAGCTGAGCAAGGGGTTTATAGGTTTATTGGTATTTTCAAACACACAAAATGAATAATCTACCTGTTTAGAGGCAGTGAGGTATCTTTACTAATACTCAGAGTTTACAGGTATAGAGGGTGTCATGATGGATAAGTTTTATGACCTTGTTTGTAGCATGGCATTTTGCTGGAGGTGAAAGTAGTGTAACTGGGTACTTCGCTGGTCTTGCTCCTGAGCTCTGAGTCTGTGCTCCGTCTTACACGCACTGTGTCCATCTGCCCTGAGTTTGTTCTCTCTCCTCTGCCTACCTTTAGATGACAAATGTATCTGCTCCATATCGTGGGATGGTTTTTCTTTTTCCCATCATGGTGGCCTGTCTACCAGCTCTGTGGTCTCCAGCCCTGCCCCCCTGCTCCTCCTGTCTTTCTTGGCCATAGGGCAGTACAGTGGCTCCATCACAGCTCCCCCACCTCTAGGATGAAGCTGCAGTTCCTCTGACTGGCCAGGGAGTTGTTCGGAGTGTCGGCTGCAGCTGGTGGGCAGCTATCTGGATTCTGAACTTGGATGTGGTATGGCCGAGTTGCTTTCCTAGAAAGGTACCTCTGAACTCCATGTGAATCAAGAGGCATGTGTGGTACCAGAGAGCCAGGCTGAGGGTGGCAGGATGGAGGGAACTCTGGCCTAGGGAGATTGGCATGTCGGATGGGCAGGAAGGAGGCCTAGAGGGTCCAGTGGTGTTTGTGATCATAGGGTATGTGGAGCGAGAGTCCCAGCAAGCAGCCTGTGGATAGGGCAAGTGCACCTAAGAGAATAGCAACTTTAGGAAATTGTATTTCTTTTGTGGTACTTGGATTTGAGCCGAGTAGGCAAATACTCCCCCTGAGCTAGCCCTCCAGCCCTTTTTTTTTTTTTTTTGTATTTCAGTGCAGGCCTGGGCTGGCCTGGGACCCCTGGTCCTCTTTCTTCTGCCTCCTGAACGTCTGGGTTACAGGTGTGTGCCCGTGCTAGACAAAGTAGTTTCAGAATCATCCATTTGCCTGGGTTCTGCAGTGCGGCTACTCGGTTTTCCTAGCAAACCCTACTTACCACATGAGGCCCCAGAGGAGATCTCTGGGCCACCACCAGGCCTGACCCAGCATCACTGCGGGACTCGAGAGGACTCGCGCTTCACTTCAGTGCCCAGCATGTGCCACGGCGGGGTGCACACCTAGGGCCTGTCTGTCTGCTCCCTGTTCCTGTCGGGGTGCACACCTAGGGCCTGTCTGTCTGCTCCCCGTTCCTGTCGGGGTACATACAAGGGCCTGTCTGTCTGCTCCCTGTTCTTGTCGGGGTGCACACCAGGGCCTGTCTGTCTGCTCCCTGTTCCTGTCGGGGTACATACAAGGGCCTGTCTGTCTGCTCCCTGTTCCTGTCGGGGTACATACAAGGGCCTGTCTGTCTGCTCCCTGTTCCTGTCGGGGTGCACACCAGCGCCTGTCTGTCTGCTCCCTGTTCCTGTCGGGGTGCACACCTAGGGCCTGTCTGTCTGCTCCCTGTTCCTGTCGGGGTGCACACCAGGGCCTGTCTGTCTGCTCCCTGCTCCTATGCCCAGCATGTGCCACGGCGGGGTGCCCACCAGGGCCTGTTTGTTCCTGTGCCCAGCACGTGCCACGGTGGGGTGCACACCAGCGCCTGTCTGTCTGCTCCCTGTTCCTATGCCCAGCACGTGCCACGGCGGGGTGCACACCAGGGCCTGTCTGTCTGTCTGCTCCCTGCTCCTGTGCTCAGCACGTGCCACGGTGGGGTGCCCACCAGGGCCTGTCTGTCTGCTCCTGTGCCCAGCACGTGCCACGGCGGGGTGCACACCAGGGCCTGTCTGTCTGTCTGCTCCCTGCTCCTGTGCTCAGCACGTGCCACGGTGGGGTGCACACCAGGGTCTGTCTGTTCCTGTGCCCAGCATGTGCCACGGCGGGGTGCCCACCAGGGTCTGTTTGTTCCTGTGCCCAGCACGTGCCACGGCGGGGTGCCCACCAGGGCCTGTCTGTCTGTCTGTCTGCCCCTGTGTTCAGCACGTGTCACGGCGGGGTGCCCACCAGGGCCTGTCTGTTCCTGTGCCCAGCATGTGCCACGGCGGGGTGCACACCAGGGCCTGTCTGTCTGCTCCTGTGCCCAGCACGTGTCACGGCGGGGTGCACACCAGGGTCTGTCTGTTCCTATGCCCAGCACGTGCCACGGCGGGGTGCACACCAGGGCCTGTCTGTCTGTCTGCTCCCTGCTCCTGTGCTCAGCATGTGCCATGGTGGGGTGCACACCAGGGTCTGTCTGTTCCTGTGCCCAGCACGTGCCACGGCGGGGTGCCCACCAGGGCCTGTCTGTCTGTCTGCTCTCTGTTCCTGTGCCCAGCACGTGCCACGGCGGGGTGCACACCAGGGCCTGTCTGCTCCCTGCTCCTGTCCCTGCTGGTGGCCACTCAGGTGTGCCTTGCACGTGGATCTGTGGCAGTGGAGGCAGAGCCTGGACGGTCACTTGCGCTGCTGTTTGTTGTTGACAGTACAGATGGCATGTTCCATAAAGCGGGGAGTAAGGTCACGGAGATACACCGGTACGACATATTGCAGTTCACTTGTACATTATTTTCCTCAAAAGATTTGTTTATAACCATTTCTATCACATATGTAAGCTAATAGGGTATTTTATTCCTCTATTTTTCTCCTCCTCTTTCCCTTTTGAACTTTTCTGTGTGTGCAGGACTTGAACTCAGGGCCTTGGCTCTGCCCCTGAACTTTTGTTCAAGGCTAGGGCTCTACCCCTTGAGCCACAGCTCCACTTCTAAGTTTTTCCTGAGTAGTTTGTTGAAGATAAGAGTCTTTCAGACTGTTTTGTCCAGTCTGGCTTCAAAACATGATCCTCAGTTCTCAGCCTCCCGAGTAGTTAGGATTACAGGTGTGAGTCACCAGCACCTGGCTTGAATTTTTTATTTTTGATAATTAAGAAATATTTATTGGGCTGGGAATGTGGCTTAATGGTAGAGCACTTGCCTAGCATGCATGAAACCCTGGATTCAATTCCCGAGTACCACAGAAGCAGAAAAGGCCAGAAGTGGTGCTATGGCTCAAGTGGTAGAGTGCTAGCCTTGAGCACAGAGAGGCTTAGGGACAGTGCCCAGGCCCTGAGTTCAAGCCCCAGGACTGACAAAAAAATTGTTTTTAAAATTATTTATTGATAGTACTGGGATTTGAACTCAGAGCCTTTTGCTTGCTTGGCAAATGCTCTACCACTTCAGCCAGGCCAAGCATTAAACTTGTATGTATTAATGTGAATACTGTACGTTTGATGCATGTATTTATGGTATACTGCTTAAATCAGGTTAAATTCTCAAGTATTTATTACTGGTTTATGTTGAAACTTTCACTATCCTTCTAATATTTTGGAATGCTTTAGTATATTGTTACAAGGACGTTACTTTTATAAATATATTATAAAATCAGTAATATCAAATGAGTCTCAGAAAATATACTTGTTTCTAACCTTGAAATATTTAAGTTTATAATTAAATTTGTTTCCTGCTTAATTTATGCCCCCAGGAAATTGAAAAGGAAGCCAGTGATTTACAGAATGCTGGGCCTGATGAAATTTCAGCCAATTTTGAAGATGATTTTGAAGTATGTATAAAAGTTATTTTTTTTGTTTGTTTTGGTCAGTTGTGGGGCTTGAACTCTGGGCCTGGGTGCTGTTCCTCAGCTTTTTAAGCTCAAGGTGAGCACTCTACCACTTGAGCCACAGTGCCACTTCCGGTTTTCTTGTGTTTAATTGGAGATAAGAGTCTCACGGACTTTTCTGCCTGGGCAGGCTTTGAACCACAATCCTCAGATCTCAGCCTCCTGAGTAGCTAGGATTACAGGCGTGAGCCACTGGTGCTTGGCCTAAAAGATTTTTCTCAGTTTAACAGTAATTCTTAAAAGTCAGCTTATTTATATATATATATATATATATATATATATATGTATGTATATATATAATTAGGTAACCATTTTTCTCTTTATTGTTCTTAATACTTAATATTGGATAAGGTTTGGTTGAAGTTATTTCCATTAAAGCTGACCAAGATGATGTAGTTAAATGACTTTATAATTAAACTTGTTTTTAAGTGCTTGGCACTCAAGCATGTATATTTATCTAACCATAAGCAGATGCACACGTTCACTCTTAGCACAGATGTTCATCTCTTAGTGTACCTGGCTCTGTATTTTGTGCTTTACTTTTAGAGAGACAAATACAGTGATATTTACAGATTTATAATGTATAACATCAAAATCAGTGAACTTTCTTGGCTATAAGGAGACTTTGCCAATTTCAGATTGTACAGGGTGATATTTTGTTCTGTTGGAGTGTGAACACGTTTGTCTTAAAGAGTGCCCAAATCCTTATCACTGTTTGTAGGATTATGAGGATGACTTTGAAGTTTGTGATGGAGATGATGATGAGAGCAACTATGACCCTGACTCACAAGAAAAAAGTGAGGAACTTCCTCCAGCCCAGAAGAGAGAAATACAAGAAATTCAGAAAGCCATCAATGCAGAAAACGAAAGGATTGGCGAGCTATCTTCAAAACGTTTTCCAAAGCAAAGTCGGATGGAGTACGAAAAGCAGTCCCGGGCAGGTACGTGAGACGGTGGTGATCCCTGGTGTCCAAGAGCCCAGGGGCCGTGTGCGAAGTAGCTTGGGGCCTACCCAGGTGGGCAGATAACAGGACACTGTGCAGCGTGGCGACAGCAGGCCCTGGGTGCTCCCTTCTGCAAGCCATGCGTGGGGGGCATTGTGCCTGGGAAGGGTCACTTTGTAAGGAGGGGCTGCGAGCTGCATCCTGCCCAGCACTGAGGTCAGAGGTGGCTGTGAGAGGCGGACCTGGCCTGCTGCCCCGCTGCTGCCCTGCACAGTCTGCACACGAGCCCTCCTTCCTGGTGGTATCTCCTTGGATTTCCACAAAGGCGCAGGCAGTCATGGGCAGGCGGCTCCCTCAGCACCACAGGGCTCAGAGACGCCACTCACAGGGCGGCCCGGGAGCTTTTGCCAGGCCTGTGCTTCCCCCACATTCTTGGCCTCCAGGCATAAGTTACATGTGAGAGTAAGAATAAATGTTTTTAAGTCATTTAAAGGAAAGCTGGGAAACTTGATAAAATTAGCCCTAAAAATAGCACTAAAGGTAAAATAGAACAGTTATTAAAGTATTAACGAATAGTAGACCGCTTTAAACGATCTTGTAGCCAGTAATGAGCCCATTTAATTATAATTAGCATTTAGCGTAGTATAATCCAAAAATGGGAGTCTGAAAGGGTAGTCATTACTAAGATTTTGTCGCCTGCCTCGAGTTAAACCGCTGAGTGGATAAACATAGCCAGGAGCGCGTCTTGGAGGCCGTGCAAGGGCGCGCCCTCGTTTTGGCTGTGTCGGCGGCCTGAGCTGGACCTACAGTCCCGCGGTGCCCCGCTGTGGGCAGGGTCAGCAGTACTCCACTCGCCTGTTCTGACTTGCCGAGGAGTGGCAAGAGTCCATTCTTAGAGTTCCCATCTTGGCGGATCTAAGAATAACCAGTGTTTGGCATTCATTCCCGACATTGATACTTACGTATCCTTATATATACTTATACATCCGTCAGGACTCACAGTGGCCATGGCCTAGAGCTGCACATAAAGACAGTTTTCAGAGACCTTTTGGGAGAAGATTGTAATTGGAAGTTGTGGTCTCCTATTTTTTAGCTCATTGTTGAAGTGTTGCTGCAGGGTGATTTTAGTGACGCGTTGTTTGTGAGGATCACATTCTGTAGCTCTGTTCTTTCATGTCTGTGCAGTGTGAAATGCCAAGACATTTTGGGGATGTCCACATTTCTTCTTCATCTTCCTCTTCCCTGTAGGTGACTCAGCAGATGGCTCCAGTTTCTCCTTCCTCAACGCTTGTCAGTAGCCTTCTCTGTTTTCTTCTGCTTGCTTGAGTGTTGACACGCCCTCTCTACCAGTTTGTCTGCTAGCTAATTTCCTGACTCCTGGTGGGTCCCAGGAAGCGTTTTCAACCTATCGCTGACTTTTCTCCATAAGCCCTCCCACAGTGTCTGATGTAACTTATCCATTGAAGCTTTGATGGACATTTCTGGTTCCTGCCAGAGTGATCCCCAGCTCCGCGTGGTGTAGACTTAGGGCCCAGGCGTCTCATTGTAAAAACAAAGTGGCTTCTGTCCTCCATGTCAACAGCCAATTGGATGTGACCACTGCTGGCAGGTGTACCTGGTGAAGGCATGAAGCGGTGAGGTCCTGCGTGGTAAACACGAGATAAACACCACCTGGACCTTTTCATTTTCACAGTAAACGGATGAAGGACAGTCAGGTGTATGGTGTGTTATTAATGAGACGTAAGCTCTGCGCTGCATCTGGGTTTATCACGTGACGGAGGGCTGCCAGGTGCTCTGCCCTTCCACGGCCCACAGCGGAGCCGCCTCTGTGCTGTTGGGAAGGTGGCTTCCATCGGGCATCCTTCTCCTCCTCAGCCAGCCTTGTCAGTGGCTTCACCTGCGGCAGCAGCTGCTGCTTCCACAGACAGAGCCTGCTGGCAATGTTTACGTTTTCAGCCCAGGCCTGCCCCTGAGCTGGGTGACAGTCCCTGGCTGCAGTTTGTGGCGCGGCACCCCACCCCGATGCTAGGGAACCCCTTGCTGAAGTCTTCATCTGCTCAGTGTCTTGTGGTGCAGCAAATGACTGAAGCCATTTGCTGTTCATGTCTTCTGCTTACCAGGCCAGTGCCTGTGAGTCCTAGCCAGCCCCCTCATTCACGGCACCTGTCCATCTTAGCCCCCCTCATTCACAGCACCTGTCCATCTTAGCCCCCCTCATTCACAGCACCTGTCCATCTTAGCCCCCACTCATTCACGGCGCCTGTCCATCTTAGCCCCCACTCATTCACGGCGCCTGTCCATCTTAGCCAGCCCCCTCATTCACGGCGCCTGTCCACCTTAGCCCCCCCTCATTCACAGTGCCTGTCCATCTTAGCCCCCATTCATTCACAGCGCCTGTCCATCTTAGCCCCCACTCATTCACGGCACCTGTCCATCTTAGCCCCCCCTCATTCACGGCGCCTGTCCATCTTAGCCCCCCCTCATTCACGGCGCCTGTCCATCTTGGCCAGTCCCTCATTCACAGCGCCTGTCCATCTTAGCCCCCACTCATCCATGGCGCCTGTCCATCTTAGCCAGCCCCCTCATTCACGGCGCCTGTCCATCTTAGCCCCCCCCTCATTCACGGCGCCTGTTCATCTTAGCCCCCACTCATTCACGGCACCTGTCCATCTTAGCCCCCACTCATTCACGGCGCCTGTCCATCTTAGCCAGCCCCCTCATTCACGGCGCCTGTCCACCTTAGCCCCCCCTCATTCACAGTGCCTGTCCATCTTAGCCCCCATTCATTCACAGCGCCTGTCCATCTTAGCCCCCACTCATTCACGGCACCTGTCCATCTTAGCCCCCCCTCATTCACGGCGCCTGTCCATCTTAGCCCCCCCTCATTCACGGCGCCTGTCCATCTTGGCCAGTCCCTCATTCACAGCGCCTGTCCATCTTAGCCCCCACTCATCCATGGCGCCTGTCCATCTTAGCCAGCCCCCTCATTCACGGCGCCTGTCCATCTTAGCCCCCCCTCATTCACGGCGCCTGTCCATCTTAGCCCCCACTCATTCACGGCGCCTGTCCATCTTAGCCCCCACTCATTCACAGCGCCTGTCCATCTTAGCCCCTACTCATTCACAGCGCCTGTCCATCTTAGCCCCCCCCCATTCACAGCGCCTGTCCATCTTAGCCCCCACTCATTCACGGCGCCTGTCCATCTTAGCCCCCACTCATTCACGGCACCTGTCCATCTTAGCCCCCACTCATTCACAGCGCCTGTCCATCTTAGCCCCCACTCATCCACGGTGCCTGTCCATCTTAGCCAGCCCCCTCATTCACGGTGCCTGTCCATCTGAGCCCCCCCTCATTCACGGCGCCTGTCCATCTTAGCCCCCACTCATTCACAGCGCCTGTCCATCTTAGCCAGCCCCCTCATTCACGGCGCCTGTAACTGGCAGCTTGGGGTGCAACAGCAAAGGCAGCATGAATTTTATGTTCCTTCTCAGTGTTGTGGCTAGAAGATTTGTTTTGCCATAGATTATGGCAATCTCAACATAAGGTTTTTAAATTTCCCTGAAGTTGAAAATTCACCATTGCACTTGAGGGAAACCCTTCACGCTTCTCTTTGGCAGCACTAGGATTCCAAGATAGTTGTCTGGAAGCTGACCGTTAGGAAGTGACTGGGTGGGGGTAGCGCCTAAGGGGTGAGTGTGCTGCACAGAGGGGCTTTGTCTCAGAAAGCCCAGGGGAAGCCACCAGGCTTCTCAAAGTAGCATACGTCTAAAACCTAAGATTGACTTATTCTTGGAAGTTTCCACTTAATATCTTCAGACTAATTGACTGCAGGTACTGAAATCTCAGAGAAACCACAGTTAAAGGGTGACTTCCATGTAATCTTTGTGTTTTTAGCAGTAAAAAAAATTGTTTTTCAGGCTGAGTGAGGTGTGGGCTGAAGACCACATCCTTTATCCTTAAGTATTTCTAAGATTCTTAGTGGTGTGATTGGCACATATAAAAGATGATCAGGCCAGGTGCTGGTGGCTCACGTCTGTAATCCTAGCTACTCACTGCTGAGATCTGAGGATCGCGGTTCAAAGCCAGCCCGGGCAGGAAAGTCCATGAGACTCTTATCTCCAATAAACCACTAGAAAACTGGAAGTGCCACTGTGGCTCAAGCAGTAGAGCACTCGCCTTGAGCTAAAGAGCTGAGGGACAGCATCCAAGCCTAGAGTTCAAGCCCCATGACCGACCCCCCCCCCAAAAAAAAAGATGATCAGTAAATCTTGCCTTGTTGTTTGGATGTTTTAGATAAAGTCAGCAAGAGCAGAACTTTAAAATACAGAGGCTGTTTATTGTTATTTATCGTCGGGGACAAAAGACATGAGTATGAGTGTTATGTATGCTTCTAGTTGTTTTAATCTTGATTTGAGTTTTTATTGGGTTAGAAGTAATATTTCATTGTCACAAAACAGCTTTCTTTTCTGTACAGATGCAAACATTTCCCCTTCCAGAACTCCTGTTTGTGGAATTTTTGTGGATTTTGCAACAGCCTCACACCGTCAAAAGAGCCGAAGTCAGGCCCTTAAACAAAAGTAGGTATATTGGAAACTTTGCCAAAGTTGGTTGTGTGTATATGTGGGGTATTACTAAGGATCAGCCTCAGGACTAGTAATTCTTCAGTAATCCTTTTCTTCAACCTGCTTTTCAAAATATATATATATATATATTTTTTTTTTTTTTTGGGTTTGGTCATGGGGCCTGAACTCTGGGCTTGGGCGCTGTCCCTCAGCTCTTCACCTCAAAGCTAGTGCTCCACCACTTGAACCACAGCGCCACTTCCGGCTTTTTTTTCCCCTGCTTATGTGGTGCTGAGGAATCGAACCCAGGGCCTTATGCATGCAAAGCAAGCGCTCTACCACTGAGCCACCTTCCCAGCCCCTAGATATATTTTTATTTGCATTAAAGTTCTCTTGTATGTTCATATGTTGTGCTTAGAGTGCAGGTACTGGCTTCTGAGTACTAGTGCTTGCCATCTAATATCTCCTTGGGCATCCTGGCCAGTTTGGGCTCAGACTAGATTACAGTTACACATTTACAAGTCTGGGGGTCAGAAAGCTGCTAAAGGGTGTGATTCTAGCTCACTTTGTATTGCTCACATTGTATCGATACCATGTCTTCCCTGTCAGGTGAAGAATGAACTGAGGACTGGGACTAAGAGCACTAATGCTAGATAACGTGGGATGCATGCTTGTGTGTCCCAGGACCCTCACACAGATGAGGAGAAAGGATCAGAATCAGCATCTGTTGAGAGACTTACTGTTGTTGTGTTAGTGTAGCATACAGAACAGTTTAAGTGAGGAAAGAACGTCTTTGGCTCATAGTCTCAGAAGTCTCAGGTCATTATGACGGGGAGGTGGGGGGCAGAGTAGCTCCCTCTTGGTGATCGGGAAACCGAACCTCTGCACTGATGGGCTTTAAATGCATGGTGCTTGCCACCCACACACAGAATGAATCTTCCCCATGTAGTTAATCCTCTCTGAAGACGCCTTCAGGGACACACCTCGAGGTGTGCTTTGCTGATCTGATAGGTACTTGATAATCCATTGTATTTGACAATCAAGATAAATCATTGTAGTCTACCCAGGCAGCTTGACACCATTCCTTAAGCCACAGCATCCCACCGGTGACACCAAAAACCCCATATCCCCTGCACCACAAAAAGGCACTTAGTCCATCTCCAAGAGTTTGTAAGGTATTCACAGTTCCAACATTGTGCAAAAGTCCAAGTTCAGAGTCTTATTTCTCAAGACAAACCCTTATCTCTGAACACTTGTTCAATTGTAGTTGTATATTTACATCATGCAGCCGCTCATAGAGAGCAATCCCATTCCAAAAGGGAGGGTCAGAGGCATAGAAAAGAGGAATGAGACCAAAGCAAGGGTGTAACCCAGTAGGGAATGAGGAACCCTCTGCAGTCTGAGTCCTACAGTAGCATAGTACCAGCTTCCTAGGGCTTGGGCAGTCCGAACTCTGCGGCCTTTCCAGCAGCCTGCGTGGCCTTTCTCCTAGACTGGCACCGCCGCTGCCTTGGCTTCCCTTGCAGACATCCTGTGTTCCTGGCCTCTCCTCCATCCCTATGTCCTAGGACTCCATTGTTCCTTAGGCTCCACCCTCACAGTTACCCACTAGGGACAGCCCCAGGGAAGCAGACTAGCTTCCAGTGACCTGGTGACTCTTGTATTTGTAGTTTGCCTGCAAAACTTGCCTCGCATGTACAGTGTCAATGTCTGCCAGCTTGAGCCATATCCTGGCCCACCTGGGCCGTGGCACCCGAATGGATGGGTGTGGGAAACACTTTTATAGATAACCCTTGTCCCTGTTTGAACCTCAGTGTTCCCTTCTTAAAGAAAAGTATTTCAAGTCAGGTGCCAGTGGCTCATGTCTGTAATCCTAGCAACTTATGAGGCTGAAATAGCAGGATTATGGTTCAAAGCTAGCCCAGGTGGGAAAGTCTATGAGACTCTTTGCACCAGCCTTGAGCAGAAAAGCTGAGAGGATGAGGCTCTGAGTTCAAGTGCCTAGACTGGCAAAAAAAGGGAGGAAAAAAGAAGGAAGGAAGGCAGGGAAAAGAAGATTGGGATGATGGAAAGAAGGAGGGAGGGAGGGAGGAAGGAAGGAGGGAGAGAAAGAAGGGAAGGGAAGGCAGGCTGGCATGCAGGAAATATTTCAAATGAGTTAAACCCTTTCTACCTTAGCCCCCCTCTCCATTGATGGAGTTTGGCGGAAGGGAGGACCCATGAGGTATTTTTCCTATTGGTTCAGCACTCGGTTTCCTTTTAATGTCTCTAATCTTTTTAGCCATGCTTTCCTTATCCAAACTTTACATGTGCTTCTTTCTGGGCAAACTGCCAATTTGAATGTTTCTGCTCTACTTCTTGCTTACAATCTTATTGTCAACTGCAAAGAGCAGCCAGCAGTAGGCACGCCACAGCCGGACTCGGGCTGCCTTGCAGCCCCCTGCCGGCTTCATGACCCTATTGCGTTGAAAGTCAGCCTTCCACAGAGTCTCAGGGCCTGGACAATGGAATGTGGACTGGCTCTCGTCCAGTCCCCAATTGAAGTCTTTCTGAAGCCTCCCGAACAGGTTACTCCGCAGCCCTGCCTGCATCTGGTATTCCGGGCAGCCCAGCACCATCCGTTGAGCGCTGCTCAGTGTGTTTTAGGGCTTCTCCAAACTCTCCCACACACCGTTCCCAAAGTCTTGTGAGCCACACCATCCGGTAGTCACAGCAGCTCCCTCACTTCTCCGGTGTCGGACTTCATGACTGTGATGAACATCCAGCAAAGGGAGTGAGGTTCCCTTGATGATGCCAGAGGCCGGTCAGGAGACAGGCCGTGTCCACAGGCTTCTTTCTCATCCCCTGTTAGTTCCTCCGAGCCCAAGGAGAGCCTGTGCTGTGAACTTGGGATTAAAACAATAGAATACATCATCTGACCATAAGGAATTAAACTGAAAATCCCCCCAAGTTACAAAATTAAACATTCTTTTTAATAAGCTATGAGTCAGTGGAGAAATCAAAAGAGGAAAGATCTTAGCCAGGCACCAGTGGCTCACACCTGTAATCCTAGCTACTCAGGAGCCTGGCAGGAAAGTCCATGAGACTCTTAGCTCCAGTGAACCACCAGAAAACCAGAAGTGGCGCTGTGGCTCAAGTGGTAGAGTGCTAGCCTTGAGCTGAAGAGCTGAGGGACAGTGCCCAGGCCCAGAGTTCAAGACCCACCACCAACAAAAAAAAAAAAAGAGGAAGGATTTTCACACTTTCTTGTGTGCTTCCGAGAGTTGAGTCTCACTTTGCATCCTGCCACCGAATCACGTCTTCAGCCCAACACCCTGGACGTTGTGTTGGTCTCGGGTGCCCTGCATTGAGCAAAGACACCACATCACGAGTCAGTGTGGTCTGTTCTTTACATAGTCACTGTACAGCAGCTACTTAGTCATTTTAAACAGCTAGATCCTGCGGGTTCACACTGAAATGAAAGGTAAGTCCTTGCCAGTTACCTCCATCAATTGCTAAGATCCCCTGTTCCTCCTGTGCACATTATTCAGTGTAACTTTCTTTCCAATTTATTTTAAAGGACAAGAAGTACAAAACTGCTTCGGCTTATCGACTTAGATTTTTCATTCACTTTCTCCCTCTTGGATTTGCCTCCAGTAAATGAATATGATATGTATATCAGAAACTTTGGGAAAAAAAATACCAAGCAGGTTAGTACAACATGTGCTTGCTAAGTGACAGAGTGCAAATGAGGTGCACGTTTGTACTGTTGAGAATGTTAGAATTTTGGGGTGGGGAGTGAAGGGTACAGTTTGAAGGAGAAAGGGTACCTTTCACCACATGGCGTTCATTAACTAGAGAGGTGATGTGAGTACACACTCCCCAGGTGTGCTGAGGCCATAGGAGCCCACGGCAGACAGCAGAGGCACGGACCCTTTAGTACAGTGTCACATGCACAGATGATTTATTTAAGGTGAAACAGTGCCAAGTTTGTTTTGGTCTTGTGTTCCTGGTGAGTATATACAGCCATAGTTGTCGACAGAAAAGATTGACAGTGCAGTGACCTCAGTGCTTGTGCTTTCTCTAACTGGACTCACTTGAAGGTCCACGCATCTCCAAGAGCCTTCACTCTTGTCCACAGGCCAGGCTGCTCTCCTGTCTGACTTACATGGCTCCTCCGGCTCCTCCTCCTCTTTCTCTGTCTGCCTCTTTTCTACATAAACCCTGCCAGGGTAACTTACACTGGACTTTATTTTCTTTTCCAGAGTTACTGCAATCCATGATGCAACATTTTCTTCTTTCCAGTAGTGATTTTAGGTTTTAATTACTTAGGAAGTGGTCTGGCTTTGCAATATAAGGTCTGTGAAGTCTGACATCATACTTGCCATTTTTCTTACATATTCCTGATGTGTGTTGACAGCATTCATATCGTCTGTTTGGTATACTCTATGAACAATACTTTCTGAAAGGTCACAACGTGAAGCTGAAGATGTGTCTAGTTTTGCAGCAGCACATTTGCTCTGACCTTGAGTAGATTAGTTTCTTTGGTAGTTTTCCTCACTTTAAGGCAAAATTATCTTTGCTGAAGTAATACTTGTGTGTGTGTGTGTGTGTGTGTGTGTGTGCGTGTGTGCGTGTGCGCGTGTGCGCGTGTGCGTGCACGCGTGCTTGTACTGAGGCTTGAACTCAGGGTCTAGGTCCTGTCCCTTATTTGCTCATAGCTAATGTGTTACCATTTGAACTCCAGCTCCACTTCTGGCTTTTTGCTGGTTAATTGGAGATACAGTCTCAACAGACTTGCCTGTCTTAGCTGCCTTCAAACTGTGTTCCTCAGATCTCAGCCTCCAGAGTATACATAGTTGCTGCTGCTGCTGCAGCCTCCTCCTCCTCCTCCACCTCCTCCTCCTCCTCTACCTCCTCCTCCTCCTTCTCCTCATTATCCTTAAGTAGTTATACAAAGGGGTTCACTTCCCCATGTCAGTTTAAGAGCACAACACATCTTGTTTAATGCATGTACCTTCTAAAAATACAAAAATTGTGGTTCTCCAAAGCTGTATGTTCTGACAAACAACATGTATAGTTTACATGCAGCTGTATATAGTCTTTTCAAATTAAGCTAAATTGTTTACTGTGGTTTTTCTGGAAATACTTTTGAACTTAGGTCTAATTTACCAAAAGTTTGAGATCCAGCAATCTATAGGATCTTTATATTTATGCCGTAATATGGGTTGGCGGTTGTGCTGGTAGTAGGCTTTGACTGTCTTGTGCTCTTGCTCCGCTTGCTTGCCATGGCTAGTCCTTACCACTTGAGCCACACCTCTTCTTTAGCATTTAAATCCTCCAGGTTTCAGCCTCCTGATAGCTAGGATTTTATTTTTATTTATCTTATTTATTTAATGTACTTTTCAGAACTTGAAGGGCTTATGAGTTCATGTGTCTGTCTGTTTAAGTGTCCGGCCTGCCTTGACCAATCACCCTTCCCCATCCTGTCTGCCTTTTCCCCTCAGACTCATCTTGTTTCCCACACATGTTATCACACGTGTGAACTGAGTTCTGGTTCTTTCCCACACATCACATGTACACGAATGCTGTCACACATGTGCACTGAGTACTCTGGCCCGTGACCCCATACATGCCATCACACATGCACACACATGACATCACACGTGTGCGCTGACTACTCTGGCCAGTGACCCCGCGCCTGCCATCACACATGTACTTATAGATTGCCACATGTATGCACTGAGTACTCTGGTCAGTGATCCACACATGCCACCATGCATGTACACATGTACTGGCACACACGTACACTGAGTACCCTGATCAGTGACCTTCATATGCCATCATACATGTACACATGTCCTGACAGATGTGTACACTGAGTATCCTGGTCAGTGACCTACACATGCCATCATACACATACACATGTGATGTCACATGTGTGCAGTTACTCTGGTCAGTGACCCCCACATGGCCATCAAGCAGGTACGCATTTGCTGTCACACGTGTGCAGAGTCCTCTGGTCAGTGACCCCTACATGCCACCATAAATGTACACATGTGCTGTCACATGTGTGTACAGAGTAGTCTTACCAGTGACCCTGCACATGTCACCACACATGTTCACACCTGTGCACTAAGTACTCTGGTCAGTGACCCCACACAGCCATCATGCATACACACATTTGCTGTCACATGTGTACACTGGGTGTCCTCACATTTGCTGTCACATATGTACGGATTTGCTACTACATGTTTATGCATATGCTGTCGTGTGTGCAGTAAGTATTCTGGTTGATGATTCCCACAAATGCTGCGTGCATTGAATATTTTGACTGTTTCCCACACATGCTGTCACACTCACACATATATGTTAGCACGTGTACATTGAATACTTTGGCTGTATTTTTCCCTAATTCACTTTCTCATTCATCCAGAGTAGCTTGGATTATAGGTGTGAGCCACTGTATCTGGCAAAGATACTTATTTTCAACACAAGTGAAAAGAGTGCTAGGCTTGAAACTTTTACACTTTCAGAAAAGGTAATTTTTTTTCAGTAGTGCCAGTGGTTCTGATGTTAAAGCTAGCATCGTATCTCTGTTTTTAAGGCATATGTTCAGTATAATGAAGATAATGTTGAAAGAGACATTCAGACTGAAGACATAGAGACCAGGGAAGTGTGGACCCAGCACCCAGGAGAAAGCGCCCTTGTCTCGGGAGGTAACACTTCTGTGCTCCTGTGCTTTTTAATATAGTTGGTTTGTTTCTTGTTCATTCTAAGTGTTTCTCTTTGGTGTGGTTCTTGGTGTAAGACTGTGGAAATACCCCACTTTTACTAACAAAGATTTGTAAATACAGAGGGAAAAATTCTATACTGCAACCAGCCGCCTCACACTGGACACTTGTACACCACGTGCGCTGAGGCTGGGGGACGGTCCTCATCAGAGTACAATTCTTTCTTTTTTTTTTTTTGGTCAGTCGTGGGGCTTGAACTCTAGGCCTGGGTGCTGTCCCTCTCAGCTCCTCAGCTCAAGGTGCTCTACCACTTGAGTCACAGCACCACTTCTGGCCTTTTCTGTGTATGTGGTGCTGAGGAATCGAACCCAGTGCTTCATGCATGCAAGGCAAGCACTCTGCCACTGAGCCACCTTCTCAGCCCGAATTCTTTTATTTATTTATTTTTTTGTCGGTCGTGGGGCTTGAACTCTGAGCTTGAACATTGTCCCTCAGCTCTTCAGCTCAAGGCAAGTGTTCTACCGCTTGAGCCACAGCGCCACTTCCAGTTTTCTAGTGGTTTATTGGAGATAAGAGTCTCACGGACTTTCTTTCCTGGACTGGCTTTGAACCATGATCCTCGGCTCTCAGGCTCCTGAGTAGCAAGGATTACAGGCGTGAGCCACTGGCACCCGGCCCGAATTCTATTTCTTAAGTGTGGTTTGCCAACATACTTCATCAATATAGACTCGCAGTCCCATGATTCTACTAGGGTGTCTGTGGCAGTGCTAAATACTGATTTTTTCTTGAGGAGTAGTATGCATGTATGTGGTAGAGGTTTGTTACTCCCTCTCCTCGCTCTAAGTAATGCAGGCTGAACATTCCTTACCTGGAATAACGGAGACCATCAGTGTTTCAGATCTCAGCTCTTCAGATGAGGGGTGTTCCATCTGTACATCTAAATGTAATGCTTACATAATGCACTGATTCCTTTCACTGTCTTCTCTTTTTTTGGGGGGGGGGTCCGGTCGTGGGGCCTGAACTCTGGGCCTGGGCGCTGTCCCTCAGCTCTTCAGCTCAAGGCTAGCGCTCTACCACTTGAGCCACAGCGCCACTTCTGGCATTTTTCTTTTTGCTTATGTGGTGCTGAGGAATCGAACCCAGGGCCTCATGCATGCAAGGCAAGCGCTCTACCACTGAGCCACCTTCCCAGCCCCATTGACTGCCTTTTCTAAGACATTTACATAAGACTTAGCTTGCAGATTTATATAAAACAATATGCAGTTTGGGGGAATCATTCAGATATTTCCTTTTAGGGCTCTCAATAGTTACAACACTTATGTGAACACTAATATAAGCATGACATGACTGTGTTGGAGTCAGCCTTACTGACTTCATTTAACCTGTACTTTTTAGGTAGTAGAGACAGAGGTCTCTCTGATGCAACAATTGTACCGAAGATTGATACTCAAAGATTATCCAGTTTTCTCCGGGCAGCGTGTCAGGTATATTCTGTTGTGTGATTACCCTGTGTGTAAGCACTTAAGATTCATTCTCTACAGAATCTTAGGAGTTCTTAAAACTTTAGACGCTTTATAGCTCAGATAAACCAGAATCAGTTGTTTTCATGTATTTTCTTATAAACTATTAGTAGTACATTCATTGAGCCCTTGTATACAAAGTAACACTGGGTAAATGTGTGCTACTGGAAGTACTATCTATGTGTTTGGACTGCACAATACTAACTTCTTACATAAAATAACTTTTTTTTTTTTGGGTCCAGTCGTGGGGCCTGAACTCTGGGCCTGGGCGCTGTCCCTCAGCCCTTCAGCTCTACCACTTGAGCCACAGCGCCACTTCCGGCTTTTTTCTTTTTTCTTGTGTGGTGCTGAGGAATCGAACCCAGGGCCTCATGCATGCAAGGCAAGCGCTCTACCACTGAGCCACCTTCCCAGCCCCCTTACATAAAATAACTTAACCAAATATCCTGAGTTGGCAAGGCAAGCTTACCTCTAAGGTGAAACTGATTATGGAGATTTTTAAATACTTACAAAGGTAAAGGGAGTGTGGTGACTGAGTTCTGGCCCTCAGTGATCAGGGCCTTTTGGGCCGTCGCTTCGTCTGGCCCTTCCTTCCCTGAGTGGTGACCACCCATCAATTATATTTTATTGGCAATCTGTAAAAGGAAAGGGTCTCTAAAAGAGCTACTATTAACATTTTAATACTCTAAAGTCAAGGCTCAAAAACGCTTACTTGTCTCACAGTTTCTTATTTTTTGTATTTTTGTGATGGGTCACTGGATACTAGCTGGACACTCTGCCACTTGAGCCATGTCTCCAGCCCAGTCTCAAAGATTTTTGAGTCCAGCATTTAAAATAGAGCAAAAATAAGTAGTATGACAAATTGTTATTCCCATGTTGATTTAGCTTAAGCAGTTTTCTCAGGGTTTTTTTAAATACCTGCTAGTTACTGTTAGGGATCTGAAGTTTACAACCTTCATTAAACTTGGCTTGACTTTTTATTATTATCTGTTTTAGTATAAAGCTATGGGGAAGGAAGAAGAGACAGCACTCGGGTAGACAGCTGTCCACTACTGTGTCGTGGCTACTTATTGTGGCTTCACCATATTGCAGTGTTTTTAGAGTGTGTAAATAGTTATCCCTCAACTATCATGGGAGCATGTTCTAGAGACCCCGTGATAGGTGGAAATCCGTGAAGCATCTCAAATCCTGTCCCTTCCCCTTCAGTTCCCAAAAGTAACCTAACCTCATTAGCACCATCAGTTGTCCTGACTTAATACTGACTCAGAATACCAGAAACATGTAGTGGTGGTCGCCTGAACTCTGGGCCTGGGCGCTGTCCCTCAGCTCTTCAGCTCAAGGCTAGCGCTCTACCACTTGAGCCACAGCGCCACTTCTGGCATTTTTCTTTTTGCTTATGTGGTGCTGAGGAATCGAACCCAGGGCCTCATGCATGCAAGGCAAGCGCTCTACCACTGAGCCACCTTCCCAGCCCGCCTGATGTATTTTTTATTGGTTGGATCTTCATTCTGTTTCTTACACTGGATTTTTTTTAGGAGTGTATTTAGTGAAAACAGCAACAATGTGGAAGTTGAAATAGTGGCCATTTTGTGGCATTATTTAAAGTTACCTTTTATAGTTTCCATTATTATGAAGGAAAAATAAAAGTAAGGTTTTTTTGTTATTGTTGTTATTATGTGGTGGGGCCAAGCATTTATTTGCAGAAGGTAATATCATGAAAAGGTAATTTTTTTTTGGAAAACATAAATGCATTGTTAAAAAGACTACTCCCTTGTTTTTGAAAGGTGGTTGCTGTTTTGCTTGAAGAGGATCGTTTGTCAGTCAGACCCAGTTGGCAGCTCACGGCTGAAGACAATTCCCTACATGTTAGTGACAGCTCCTGTCAGCTGAACACTGACCTGCCATTCCTTCAAAGTAAGAAGCCTTTCCTTAATGAGGTCTTAATCAAACTGCTCAAGATACAGTGGAAATTAATATTGCATTTTGTTTTAGAGTGGTAAAGTTTATTGTATATAAAGCAGAAAAAGATTCATGTTCTGCAAAATGGCAAAATGAATGACATAGATATTTAACATTTTTAAGTTAATATGGTTACAGAACATAACAGGCTAAACAAATCAAGCATATGGTATCACTCACAGTGTATAACTATATGTAGTTATTTAAATCAGTTTAAACAAACTGCATTTGGAAGATAAGTTGTAAATTTCTATATCTAGTAGCTTTGTCTTTCCAGATGTGGCCAGTGATATGGCTCTAGCTTGTGTAAAGCTGTGACAGAAACAGAGGTAGGCCAGAAGTGGGGTTTTCTTCCAAAGATTAGGATGTAAATGTGCTCCAGTCATGGGTTGCTACCTGTGCTGGACTTTCCTTGTCCTGCCTGCTGTTTAGAACTTGATTCACATACATTCTTCTCTCCTTTAACATTAACCAAGATGGCACTCACTGTTCATTTAAAAATCGTCACATTCTTGAGGTTCTAGTGGCTTATAGCTGTAACCTGAGATCTGAGGATTGCATTTCAAAGTCAGCTTGGGAAAGTCTGTGAGACCCTATGTCCAAAATTAGCCACCTAAAAACCAAAAATGGAGCTGTGGCTCAAGTGGCAGAGTCCTAACCTTGAACAGAAAAACTCAGGGTCAGGCAGACTCTGAGTTCAAGCTCTAGGACTGGCACACACACTCAAATCACATTCTTTGAGAGTGTTTTATCTTAAAAGCATCATCCTTCAGAAACCCAGTAAGTCACTGAACCTGTAGTACTGGAAACAATGACAATCCCCGTTCTCACACTCCAGTGCACAAAGAAGCAAAGAAAAAGATGACTTTTCTCAAGGAACAATGTAGAATGGTGACCCCAGTACATAAAACATCAATTACTTATATGCAGAATCTTTCATTCAACACTGATTTACATTTGGTCTTAAGGCATTTTCTGCATGTGAAAGTAATGGAAGCTTTTGTGTTCTTAATTATTTTTCTTATTTGATTAGGTCATTTCACTTTTATGAACTTAAAAGATTTCAACTCACTAGTGTGTCAGATCTGTAGTCAGATATAGTGGTACATCAGTGTACACGGAATCCTGTCGTTTCTGTTAGTACATGCATCTTATGCATTTATTCAGTGATTTTAGTAGGCTCAGAGGATTAGCAATGAATTGAGCAGACAGGAATCAACGCCTTCATGAAACGTATCTTTTGATGGGTCAAATGGACCGCAAGCTGACTAAACATGTAAAAGATGTAATGTCTTAGGAAGGGGTAAGTTCTGAGGAGAAAAGTGAAGGAGAAAAGTGAAGATAAAAACCCACGTCTGTAATCCTGGCTACTCAGGAGGCTGAGGTCCGAGGACCGGGATTAGAAGACAGTTTGGGCAAGAAAGTCTGTGAGACTTATTGCCAAAATACTACTCAGAAAAAAAGTAGGTAGCACTGTGGCTCAAGTGGTAGAGCACTAGCTTTGAGCACAGAGAAGCTCAGGGACAGTGCCCACCAGGCCATGAGTTCAAGCCCCTGGACTGGCAAAAAAAAACAAAGTGAAGATTGCAGAGGACTCAGTGTGAGTGAGGAAGTGTCCGGGAGGAGCCTGGGTGCTTCCTGTGGAGGTGAGGCCTAGGCAGTCTCTGACTTCGCAGTGCCAAGAGGCTGCAGAGAACACGGGCTGGCTGTGGACCGCCATCAGCTCTGCCAAACACGATGCGTATGTTCCTAAAGTCCACCACTCTCTGCAACAGTGCCAGGGAAAACAGCAGAGCTTGGGGGACAATGGGATCACCACCAGTAAGAAAACTGTCCAACTCACATAAATAGGAACCCAGTGAAAGTGGCAAATCGCCAATGTGTTCCAAAGGGTTCCCCTGGCATGGTTCTCCAGAGGAGAGCGTCAGGTCCACAGGAGAGGGTTCTGGGCCTCAGATCCATGGGGGAGGGTTCTAGACCTGGGGTCTGCAGGGGGAAGGTTCTGGGCCTCAGGTCACGGGGGAGGGGTTCTGAAGTTCGGTAGCTGGAAGTGATTATAGAGTGGATAGATCTCCCTGAAGGAGGGAAATTGGACCCCTAGGGTGGATGGTGTAGGCCATTACATGTGTGTACATGCATGGACACGTGTGTGACTTAGGAACAGCTGGGTCAGACGTATACAGTGCTCTCTATTCTCCTCTGACTTTGCCGCAGTGCTGTCGAGTTCTTTCTTGAGTCTTTGGTCCTTTGCTTCTTCGTGCCTGGGAGAGGTTTGGCTGGCTGCTGGGGGCTCTGGGACAGGGCAGTCTGCCAACCGTGAAGTGTTGGAGCAGAACTGTTTGCTGTGCAGTGCTCTGAGGGCTGCTCTAAAGAGAACTGAGAGTCCTAACAGCAGTGAAGACAAAGGGACTGGGGTCATTTCCTGTTTGTTCCTGCTGAGATTCCAGCTCCTTGGCCTTTAAGTGATGAGCTGGTGGGCAGGGCTGCACCGTATGGGAAGGGTTCTCAAACAGCACGGTCAGCATCGACACAGATCTGAGTGTAGGCTGTGTGGTCATTTATTAAAACCCAGATTCCACTGGACACCAGTGGCGCTCACTGTAATCCTAGCTACTCAGGAGGCTGAAATCTGAGGATCGTGGTTTGAACTCAGCCTGGGCAGGAAAGCCGGAGTCTCTTGTCTCCAATGAACTCAGAATAAAGCTGGAAGTGGTGCTGTGGCTCATATGGTAGGGTACTAGGCTTGAGCACAAAGAGGCTCAGGGACAGTGCCCAGACCCTGAGTTCAAGCCCCAGGGCTGGCAAAGAAAACCCCAGCCCAACAACAATCCAGATTTCATATTTGTTCAGCTTTGAGGGACCATGCTTGTTCTTTTCATAAGCTGGAATTTGAGTAACGTGCGTTAATTTGACATGGATTCTGTTAAAGTGACTAAAATGCACCTTTTTTAAAAACCTCCAGATCGCGAAGTGCTCTGCTTACATGCCTCTCAGGTGCAGAGGCAGACGGTGGTCTCCGTCCACGACGTCCCCCGGAGGGCGTCCTTCCCGCCGCTGGACAGCAGGCTCCTCCTCTGTGTGTGGGACATTTGGCAGCCCTCAGGGCCTCAGAAGGCTCTGATATGTGAGTCCAAGGTACACTGAGCGAGGCGGCCGTGTGTGCTGGTGCTGGCAGGTGGGAGACCGTGGTGACGCCGGGGTCCCGTTCCACCTTGGTTCTGGCGAGTGATAGGACACGTGGAGGGGTTTTGATTTGACCTAGAATTCTAAGATGAGCTCATTGAAAGGAAGCCAGGGTTATCAGGCAGCGGCTCCGGGTCACCCACAGTTAGGCAGTGAGTGGCCGCCTGGGCTCAGCTGTGGAACCCCACGAATTCACTTTGTGGCTTGTGCTACTTAACGCCGCTGCCGTATCTGCGTCACCACAAGTGTCTACCTGGTCCATGGTGACAATGCCTGCTTGCGTCTGCTTCCTTTTTGACTGACTTCAGAACCACTGATTTCAAAACCACATGAACACCTTCTCTCGTGCTAGTCCTTGAAAACAAAAACATTGCGATATAAGGTGTAAATAAAGTCGCAGAGGCTGCAATTGCCGTTTTTGAGGTTCACTTACTTGCATTGAAGGGAAAGGTTATTAAGCACATTTTGTATACCCAGATGTAGCTAACCACATTATAGTTGTGACCATTACAGTCTTACATGGGGGTTTGGTGTCCTGTTTTTCATTTAAATACTCACAAATTAAATTTTATTCATATACTACACTATAAATTTTATTTGTGTACTATATCCTACGGCTTCCTGGAGGGAAAGATTCTGTAGTGACACTCATCCATATAAATGAAAACTGTCAGATACCGCACTTAGTATCTTGGCTTCCGTGACTGCTGTGTTGTGTTTTCCGGCCATCAGCCATCTGCATTTTTGTTGCAGGTCACGTGCTGCTGCTTCAGCCCTTTTAAAGCATTCTTGCTGTTTGCGGGGACAGTGCATGGCTCAGTGGTTGTGTGGGACTTGAGAGAAGACTCCAGAATCCACCACTATGTGCGGCTGAGCAACTGCTCCTGGACGTTCAGGACACCGACATTCTCCACTGGTCAGTGTCATCTGTGACCAGCCCCACTCACCCCCCATTTGTCACGTCTGGGGTCTGAGCCATGGGGCAGATGAGTAGAGAAAAATAAAATTCGTCCAAGGAGCCCTTACCTAGGGCCAGTCGTGCTTGGGATTTTTGTGTGTTGTTTAATTTGTAGATTCTGAACATTTCTTTCTTTTTTTTTTGTCAGCCGTGGGGCTTGAACTCTGGGCCTGGGCGCTGTCCCTCAGCTCTTCAGCTCAAGACGAGCGCTCTACCACTTGAGCTACAGCGCCACTTCCGGTTTTCTGGTGGTTTATTGGAGATCAGAGTCTCAAGGTCTCTCCTGCCCGGGCTGACTTTGAGCCATGATCCTCAGATCTCAGCCTCCTGAGTAGCTAGGATTACAGGCGTGAGCCACCAGCGCCTGGCGATTCTGAACATTTCTAAACAACATAAAGTTTAGTTTGAATATTGGTTGATGATTGACTGTGATTGTAGTCTTGAGTTAAAACATATTGGCATGTGTGCGCTCATGTGGCGTAATCAATGGTTGAGGCAGCCGAGGGGGTGAACGGGAATGCATCTGCGCAACCCACCAGGACCCTCAGTTTTACGCAGGTGAAAGGTTCTTTGTGTGCCCACCATAGCCAGCACAGCACATAGCAAATCTGCCCTATTTCTGTGAATTTCTCTAAATACTTTATCTATAGTGTACTTGTTAGAGAGGTGACACGTACTCAGAGGGACAGGCCTGACTCCAGCGCTGGCGTGACACCCTTCCTGGAATGGCTCCTTCCTGTCGGGGATGGAGCCCTGGGGCCTGCAGGCCAGCTCTGCTTTCTGTTGTCTGATCTCCTCCTTTGTTCACCCTCGGGAGCGCGCGACGCCATGCTGAGACTTCTCACAGGATCTATCTTCTGGCTCTGTAGTTTTGCTTTTTCCAGATGTCTTAAGGTGTTTGATTCCTTTGTGTTGCTTCATGATTCACAATCTCATTCCTACTTTGTGTGTTCGTTCGGTTAATTCAGACATCTACACCTAAGAGCCTGTATCCAAATGTGCATACCAGTTTGTATCCCAAGCAAAATACGAGAGTTTCAGCAGCTCTGCATTCTTCCCAACATCTGGTGTTTATCATTTATTTTAAATTTAGCTCTTCTATTACATGAGTAATAGTATCTAACTGTGGTTTTTAACTTCCACTCCCTAATGACAGTGATGTTGAACATTTTTCGTGTACTTGTCTACTGTATATCTTCACTGCTTATGCCTGTTCAGATCTTTTGCCTCTTTTCTTTTTGATTGTTGTTGTTGTTGTTGTTTGTCCTGGTTCTAGGGATTGAACTCAAGAGGTTGACCACTGTCCCTCAGCTTTTTGTTGTTGTCGTTCAAGGCTAGCATTCTACTGCTTGTGCCATACCTCCCCTTCAGGCTTTTTTGGTAGTTAATGGAGACAAGAGTCTTTAAAAATTTTTTTTTATTATTTTTTTTATTGTAAAGCTATGTACAGAGTGGTTATATTTGCGTAAGTCAGGTACTGAAGTACATTTCTTTTGAACAGTGTCACTCTTGATTTCTTATACACATTTGCCGGGGGAGACAAGAGTCTTACGGACTTTACTGTGTGGCTGGCTTTGAACCACCATCCTCAGCCCTCAGCCTCCTCAGTAGCTGGGATCATAGCCCCGCACCTGTCTCACCAGCCACACACTGCCTTTCTGGAAAGAGAGTGTGTCTCAGGGTCTTGATGTCGGCAGCACAGGGTGTGACCTCTGGGGCTCGCTCTTGCTAAGCAGGCATTCCAGGCCCTTTTTGTGATTTTATTGAGTAGGGATTTGTGTTTTCCTGGTGGGTGACCAGACTTCACCCCAGAGGCCGCGTGCGTCCCCTGCTGTGTGATCTTCATTTCTGAGATGACCCTTCTTTTCCTTCATTTCTCGTGTTATTTCTTGCTATTTCTATGACTTGTACTGACGCATGGACCCTGTGGGCCTTAAATTCTAGATGGAATCCTCACATCGGTAAACCACCGAAGTTCTCTTCGGGCCATAGAACCTGTTGCCACATCTGTCTACAGAAAACAGAGTTTCGTGCTTTCTCCTTTCACGACTCAGGAAGGTACGTGATCTCTCCTGTAAAATCCTGCGAGCTACAGGTAGGAAATGTGACTTCTTAAGTTATGGTAACTTTCTTTTCTTTCTGTTTTCCTTAGAAATGTCAGGTTTATCATTCCACATTGCTTCCTTGGACGAGAGCGGGATTCTCAATATGTGGGTAAGTCGGAGGTCAGGGCTGGACACACAGGCTTGGGGTGAAAGTGGTTGGGTGGAGAACAGCACCTGAATTTGGGCGGGGAGCTCGGGAAAGAATAGGATGGTGAGGCACTTTGCTAGGATCAGGCTTATCAGTGCTGTGAAGAGGGGGTGGCGGATCTTACACCCAGGGGACCTTCTGCAGGCCTTCAGGATACGGAAGGAGGGCTGGAACAAGGTACCGGAGCTAGAGCGTGTCGGGACTGCCCTACCGTGTGTGTGAAACGTCACTGGGTGAGGAGAGTAGCCCTAGATCAAAAGGAAGGAAATACAAAAGTTAAAATATCAGTCCTAGAGTTAGTGACCAATCTTTTTTCCAAAGCAATTATAGGACCCAATATACATAATACCTCAGTTAGAACTATTCTTCGCTTAGATTGTTATAAAATGCTTAGAATTACAAAATGTACCAACACTCATTTTTCATATTTTATTTTTAGGTGGTTGTTGAACTGCCAAAGGCAGATAATGCAGGCTCAATGAGTGATTTAGGTAACTATTAAACTCAAACGTTAATTTTAGTTAGGTTTCGCTAAAATGAACAGAGCTTAAGGATATGCCTGTTTGTAAAACTACCATTAGCTACTTGAGCCAGTTCTGTTCGATAAACAGTTGAGCAGTTGCTGGGGTGCTCCGATGGTGCTCTGCCCCTGACCGGGAGTCGCTCTCGAGAGACCGGGTGCTGATGGCTGCACGCCCTCCTTTGCTCTGGGGCTTCTTCCTTGTGTTTCTGATTTTCTAGCGCTCGTTCGTGTGCCCTGTATGGCTCTCCCTAGGCCAGGGATGGCGGGTCCAGATGGCACGGAGTTCTACACAAAGAAGTGACTGGGGGCGGAAAATGGAGTCCCCTGCACTTGCGCTGTTGTATGCGCTGCACGATGCCCTGGGGTGTGGGTGGGGTTCCCAGGGCTCAGGAATTGCACTCTCTGGTCTCTCTGCTTCCAGCCCAGTTTCCTTACCTGGGTATTTGTCTCCAGCCTCCTGTTTCAGGTTGTGTCAGAGTGTGGACTGGCGGTGGCTGGGAAAGGGTCTGTGCGGGGCTGGTGCTGACGGGCCTGGCGTGGGATAGCAGTTACGGGCTGTGGTTTGCCAGTCCTGTGGGCTGACCCTGGGGCAGGCCTGCCGGGCAGGGTCGCATCTGTGAACACCAGCCTGAATGCTCTCCCGCCACCCGCCCTGCCGCGCCAACAGCCCCCAGAGTTCTAGGCAGCACCGTGCCCAGAGTGTGGGTTCCTGTATATGTGAACCCTTATTTCCTCCATTTTCAGCAAAGAGCAAAAGCCAGCATGGCAGTGGGATGGGTAGGGAGCAAAGCACATGGCCGGGGGTCCCAGACACGGTGAGGGAAACGAAGGAAGGGCATAAGAGGAGCAGCCAGGACCGCAGCCCGGAGGTGTGTGAGGAGGCCGAGGAGCACCGAGGAGGACGGGGAGCACCGAGGAGGATGGGGAGCACTGAGGAGGATGGAGGAGCACTGAGGAGGATGGGGAGCACTGAGGAGGATGGGGAGCAC